ATCTGCAGAAACTCACCAGCCATGGATGAACACAAAACCTGCAAACCCGTTTTGAGGCATCAGGAAAATTCAGAAAAATCTACAAATTTCACAGACTTTAGTTCTCAAGTAGACGAACAACTTTCATGATGGAAGTTTTCTGATCCAAGCTTCCGAAATATGACTTCTGGATTTCTGAACAGTACCCTAAGTTTTGGGTCTTGAAGAAGAGGGAGGTTTTGAACTTGGCTGAAGGAATGTTTTTTTTTTATGTTGGCTGTGAAGATGGCCAAATAGTTGGCTGGAAAATGGAAGTCTTGGCTGAAGAGATGGTTTGGACATGAGAGGACCCACGTGGGTTTACTTTGGTATTCTCAAACTTGGTTCAAATTGGCATGGGTATGAAAAGGCTGTGGGCAATATTCTTGGTCGGCTGAAGTATTTGATCTCTTTGTAAATTAGGTTGCAAGTTTTTGGGTTGGAATCCAATGGTCTTGTTATTCATATGAATGAATGCAAAGTTGCAGCCGAAAGTGGTGTTTTGTTAAATAACAATTGGACAAAGGAAGCAGCAAATCACATGGGAAATGCTGAAATGTTTGACTCAAATATGCTTTGGGTGGATTTGGCATTATTTTATGGGAGCAGTTTAATTGGTTTGTCCATTTGGAGAAAGAAACCTTTCTTTCTTTTTCTTTGTTTAGTGTTTCAAGTGGATAGATGCTTTATGTCAGCAACAAATGACTTCCAATGCAAAGAGTTGGCTGCAAAGTGTTGGCTGCAAGGAGTTGGCTGCAAAGTGTTGGCTGCGAAGAGTTGGCTGCAGGGAGGGCATTAATATTGGGAAGACAGGAGGGCATTAATTTTGGGAAGATTTCCAAGACATCGGGTAGTTCATGCCTAGAGCTCCGGAAGGCATTAATATTGGGAATATTTGTAGCCACCCTACTATCCTGATCTCATTTTACTGACCAACCATAGGGGTTGATAATGGTTGGAAAATTCTCATTAAATGTCTAGAGCCCCGGAAGACATTAATCTTGGAAGGATTTTCAATGAAAGTTAGTTGAGGCCATTTAATGGCCAAACCCATGAGCTGAAGGAAGCTCTATAAATTGGTCGTCAGAAGAAGAGAAGGGGACCTCCGACTGAACACACAAAATCTATCTTTTTATCCTGTACTTTTCAATTCATAGTCTAGGATTTTATCTTTCAAGTTCTTCAGATTATCAAAGTTCTTCGTTTTCCTAGTGTAAGCTTACTTTCTTGCAATTTAATTTCAATTGTCTTTACTTTCGAGTTTAATTCAAGTTTTTATCGCTTTAATCTATTTTATCGCATTTACATTTCTGTCATTTTGTTTATTGCATTTACATTCATTACACTTATCACAAAAATCCTAAAAATAGTCATACAATTCTCAATCATCCTTGACTTCAAGGAAGAAAAAGAACCTAGGCCAAGAGGAGGTTCCTTGCTTGGCCGATCAATCGTTTAATTAAAAGTTAGAAGCGCAAACACATTCACACGATCTTTCCATCCAAGCCATCAAGTGGCTTGGTGGTGGCACGCCTACGCATCTCAAGAGAAGAAGGACCAAAAAACTCCTTCCATTGGCCTACTCGGCCAAAAAGAGGGAAACAAAAACATATATATTTCTTCTGTTTGATTTTTAATTGGAAGTCAAGTCATTGGAAATTGATATGGGTGAAAAGAAAAAGAAATCAAAAAAGCCAATAGCTATAGAGTTTGTTTGATACATTACAGTTAGTGATGCATTACATGTTTGTTGCTACTAATGCTTGTTGAAATGATGGTGAATCCTCTATTGACTTGTTTCAGAGCGCACAACGGAAAGGACTGGATGTCCTGAACACAGTGGGTCTCTCTAACTCTGTATTGAAGCTCATTGAGAGGCGGAACCGTGTCGATCAATCGATCAAGTATGCAAGCATGATTCTGACAGTTGTCATTGTTGTGTATCTCATATGGAGGTGGAGGTGATGATCCATGCTTGAGATGTTGCGAGCCAATTTTGTTTCTATTTTGTGGGAAGATGATGTAATTTTCTATTACAAATTTAGTTACATACCCAATCTTAGATATAGTCTCATAAAGAAACCCCATACCATTTAAAACACATCCCAAAAAAACCCAAAAATCTACAACTGTCAATTTTTTTTCAATTTAATAGCTATTTTTCAGTTTATTGTGTGTGTAAAATACCTATATTGCCCTTGTACTATGGATTTGAGAGAGAAAAATCAGATATGCCCAAATTTGCCAAAAAACCAAATCAGATTTATTTTCTCCTTTCTTGCTAGGGCTTTCTCGGTGTTGGAGCAAGAGGAGCTTTCATTGAAGCTTAGTCTCAAGTCCAACTATATTCATCATCTTTGATCTACAATTTTCAATATTTCACCTTCGATTTCTTGTTCTAAAATCGTGCTTCTATTGATATATTTTTTTTGGATTGTTCGGAACCTCGAACGAACCTCAATCAGATGCTCTTAGCTGTACTCCTCTTTCGCCACTTTGTCGTCGTCGTTGTCGTCATCATCGTCATCGTTGTCGCCATCGTCGTCGTCGTCGTTTGGTTTGGACTTGAGATTTTTGATCTTTTGCTTCAATTATGTGTTTCTCTTCGGATTTTAGTTGATTTTCAAAATGTATTTTAAGTTTTGATGATCGATTTATCTTTTGTTACTATTTTAGTTATGGATCTCATTTTTGTTTAACAATGTACTTCTATGACAGAGTATTAACAATGTACTTCTATGACATAATAATATTAACAATTTGGGCTCGGCTTGTTTTGATTTGGTTTGACATGTATTAGAAATAGCAACATGACAAGCATTAATCAACATGACAGTAAAATAGCAGTGTTATTACCCTAGACTAGAACATTACACAGGTAGACATGCATTAGAAATAAGATGTCCTAGGAAACTAGCAGTGTTATTACCCTAGACTGGAACATTACAGCCATTAATCAACATGACAGTAAAGGTGTGGAACATTACAGTCATTAATCAACATGACACGTTAATGAAGCTATGGGTTTTTTTTAATATAAAATTGGGCTGGGCTTGTTTTGGGTGCTATTTAAGTTTTTTTTGTGTTGGGCTTCTTTTAAGTTAATCAATGGCAGTCACGTAATTTATAGGAAGTTCAACACCAATTTCTTATGTAGTAAATGAGTTTTGGGTGTGTTTCTAAAGTGCATTCCATGTTATTTTTTTTTTTTCAATAATAATTTCAGCCCCTATTTTGGGTATATTAGTGAAGCTCCTAAATATGAATCTATCAAGGCCTCTGCGGAAGATAAGGAAGCATCCCACTAATCGATAAAGTCAAAGATGTCATCTAAGGTATGCAAGTAATGATATATGAACATCATACTTTTTTTACATGTAGGAAAATAAAGTGTGAGTATAGTCAATCCATACCTGATCAGGGAACAATAGAAGGGCGCCTTCCTGAGGGGTCAAGGACAGGCTTCTTCCATTGTCCGCTGATGGATCCACAATCATTTCAGTGGGAACAATAGAGATAGACCCTCCAACCTAACAAGAATTTTTCATATATTTGAATTAACACACACACAAATTATTTTTAAAAAATTAACGCAAAAACAAATAATATGGTAAATTACTCAAATGGTCCTCAAATTTGTACTCGATTTACATTTTGGTCCCTAAAACTAAATTATTCATTCAAATGGTCCACCAACTCTTTATTGATCGGCGCTTTGGTCCTACCGTTACATTTTCTGTTAAATTTAGTCATGTGAGCAGCACATGCTACATTTGTGAGGGTAAATAAGACTTTTGACCTATGTATCACCCCTTTATCACCACTTGATCACCTATGCATCACCACTTTATCACCTATTTGGGGAACATAGGACGGTTATGGATGGTTTTACCCTTACATTTGACGGCAACATTAACAAAATTTAACGGTAGGATCAATGGAGCGATTAATATAGAGTTGATGGACTATTTGAACGAATAATTTAGTTTAGAAACTAAAATATAAATCGAGTACAAATTTGAGGACCATTTGAGTAATTTACCCCAAATAATACACAAAATTGAATTTACATCTCCGATCGAATGTAAACCCACATTTACATGGGAGTATTTTTGCTCACCACTTTAACCATAGGTGTACCCTCACCACCATCCTCAATGCTTGACACGTGTCCATAGGTATAATCATGATTCCATAAACACAAAGCAAAAGTTAACTATGGTTATGTCTATGGACACGTGTCAAGCATTGAGGACGGTGGTGAGGGTACACTTATGGTTAAAGTGGTGAGCAAAAATGCACCCCATTTACATCCCGCCGTACATCCCCAAATTTACATTCCCCATTAAAGTTGCTTTGAGCCATCCATAAGAGCATCCACAGTGAGGGGGTGTATATGGGGGTGTATGTTAAATATACACCCCGAGTCACCGGAATCGTCTCCAATGGTGAGATGTAAATGTATGTAAATATACATCACCACCATGGGGATGTAAAATAAAATGTATATTTACATCCATTTTTACATCCCTTGCAGGCGGAACCCACCCGAGAAAAGAGAACAAAAATGAAGAAAAGTCAACATAAAAGGCTGGGACCCACGGCTACACCCCCGAATTTACACTCCCCCACTGAAGCAAAAAACATATTTACACCCCTCGGCGGTGTAAAGGGGATGTAAAAATGGCTTTACACCCCCAAATTTACACACCCCACTGTGGATGCTCTAAGTCAGTCAATTTAAGTCAAACACAAACAAAAGAACTGATTTAACTGAACATGGAATAAAGAAGATCTCCCAAAGGAGAATCGTTTTCCAGTGAACCACACAGTCCTATCCCATGTGGCATTATCACAACTAAACACGTAAACAAGACATGGGTGAAAATCAGATGCCACGTGTCACATGCGCATTTAAACTCATAGATTTCATTGGATGAGATTATATCCGGTGTGAACCAATTGTAACTCCCACGCATCTTATCCGTCCACCCCTTTGTGGTGTCTCTAAAATCCTACTATACAGACAGACGGAGAGGGAGAGAGCTCACTTCCATTGCCAACATTCTGCTAAAACTTCAAACTTTGCTCCAAAAATGGCAGCAGAGATGGCTCTTGTAAAACCCAAGTTTGCTCCAAAAATGGCAGCAGAGATGGCTCTTGTAAAACCCATCACCAATTTCAACAATGTGAGCCCAAAATTTGGAAGCAGCAGAGCTTGCTCATACAACAGGTTGAGCTGCTCAATAAGAATGTCTGCAACTGCACAGCCCACAGCCAAAAAGTCCCCAAAGAAAGCCATCAAGGAGACCCTTTTGGCACCAAGGTTCTACACCACTGACTTTGATGAGATGGAGACCCTCTTCAACACTGAGATCAACAAGAACCTCAACCAGGCTGAGTTTGAGGCTCTGCTTCAGGAGTTCAAGACTGACTACAACCAGACCCACTTTGTGAGGAACAAGGAGTTCAAGGAGGCCGCTGATAAGCTCCAAGGCCCCCTCAGACAGATTTTTGTGGAGTTCTTGGAGAGGTCTTGCACTGCTGAGTTCTCTGGCTTCCTTCTTTACAAAGAGCTTGGAAGAAGGCTCAAGGTGAAATTCTGATTAAATTATCATCTCAATTTGCACAGTCAGATGGGGTTTTTGGTTAATTTGCAAGTTGGGTTATTCTTTTTTTGTTTGTGGTAGTTAAATTTTAAGAGGATTTATGTTGCAGAAAACCAATCCAGTGGTGGCTGAGATATTCTCTCTCATGTCCAGGGATGAAGCCAGGCATGCTGGGTATGCAAGCATTTTGTTACTCTTTTTTAGGATACTATTACTCACAAGAATAAGCAATATTGATTAGAATGAATAACCATAGTTTTGTATTACTGTTGCAGGTTTTTGAACAAGGGTCTGTCTGATTTCAATTTGGCATTGGACTTGGGGTTTCTGACAAAGGCCAGGAAATACACATTTTTCAAACCAAAGTTCATCTTCTATGCCACTTATTTATCTGAGAAGATTGGATACTGGAGATACATTACCATATACAGGCATCTCAAGGAGAACCCTGAGTACCAGTGCTATCCCATTTTCAAGTATTTTGAGAACTGGTGTCAGGATGAGAACAGGCATGGTGACTTCTTTTCTGCACTGATGAAGGCACAACCCCAATTCCTTAATGACTGGAAGGCAAAGTTGTGGTCTCGATTCTTCTGCTTATCGGTAACTTCTTGCTCTCAAGATAACAATTATTTCTTTAGCCATGTAATGTCACAGCTGCACATGTAAGAATACACTTTCTTGTTTGCAACCAAAACCAATATGTGTTCAGAACAAAATATTTTATGGGAAGTAGCATTTATTTCCCCCCTCTTTGCCTACCCAAAAAACTGAAATGGTTTAGCATCAAGTTACATAAGGTTGCGCAGCTGTCCCTCAACTTCTGTTCCTCATACTTGACAAATTTATGGTGCAGGTATATGTGACAATGTACCTAAATGATTGCCAACGCACAGCTTTCTATGAAGGCATCGGGCTCAACACAAAAGAATTTGATATGCATGTTATCATTGAGGTGAGCCTGTGGTTCCATAGTTCAAGATTACCAAACCTTGAGAGAAATTTATTGTAGTTCAAGATTAGACTCTTACACAGTAGATAATTCCGGAGATAGCTATTACTGTTTCTAATATGCTAGAAGCATCCTTCTTTCTCACAGCTATAATTTTCAAACTTATTTTCAAGAAAGGTAAATCCTCTTAGTTCCCTTCTTGGTTGCCAAGATGATGAGGTAGAAAGAGAAAAATCAGAATTTCCTTGTATACCTGAGTAGTTGCAATATCAAAGTTTGCACTCTTTTTCATTTACACTCTTGGCAACCAATATGGAGGTAAGAGGTGATATTTATCGTTTGTTAAACATCCAATCTCTTGTTAGAAGCATGCTAACATCTAGTCTTTTTTCTGGAAGATCATAAGACTGCCTTTACTCCCTTAGCTAGTTGGACATGACAACTTTTGTGCCAAGGTTCAGTAGTGTATTTTCTGTTTATGCAGACGAATCGCACTACAGCCAGAATTTTCCCAGCTGTGCTTGATGTTGAGAACCCAGAATTCAAAAGGAAACTGGACCGCATGGTGGAGATTAACCAGAAGCTGATTGCTGTCGGGGAAAGCGACGACATTCCCTTGGTGAAGAACTTAAAGAGGATACCTATGGTTGCTGCATTGGCCTCTGAGCTTCTGGCTGCATACCTTATGCCACCCATTGAGTCCGGATCTGTTGATTTTGCTGAGTTTGAAACCCAACTGGTGTACTGATTTTTTGTAAGATTTCCCTCTCATCCCATATGATGTTAGAGCATAATTAGTATGCCTACAAAACCGAGAAGATGTTGTCAAGTTATCAACACTTGTTAACATACCCTTTGCTTCGTAACGTTTAATTTTTTTTTAATGTAAAAATGGTTTCCCTTTGGCAATATTCTTGGTCATACGCTTCAAATTTCTAACCCTAAACCCTAAAACATTACTTCCCTTAATCCACGGTGATTTATTTTTTATGAAAATGATTTTATCTATACATAAATACTCCGACCGTTTAATTCATGGCTTAGACGTCTGTAATGAGTCAACCATTATACAGCAAATGTCAATTTCAGCCCTAATACTTTAAACGATTGAGATCGCATATCTTAAACTATGGAATAAAATTGTAATTTCAATCAATATCTCTCATCCAATATTTTTTCCCAGTAATTTATCTTGCTAACATCCATCAGGTTTGCAAACACATTGTGTCAACCATCTGTTAAGTTCTAAATAATTGTCTTGAAAATGAAATTAATCTAATCTTTGCTTCCATGTAGCTCTCATAGCAATATTGTTAAACAAATCAAACCCCAAATGAAAAGTTTACACATTTAACTTAGCAAGTCTCAGCACCCTATCCAAAAACAAAACAGAAAAACAAAAAGCCCAAGTGCATACGGCAGATGTTTTTTATTTACTTAAATTTTTTTTCTTTTGTCAAAGTTTGGAAGGGGGAGGCGAGATGTACCATTAGGTTCAAACCTGAGATACCTAATCTGCACGCAAATGCTCTTACCACTAAGCTATGGACCCATTCGCGGATGTAGCATAGGTTATATATACATTATTAAATATCATATAGCAAACCAGAAAGAATATTATCCAATGAAACTTGGAGCAAGTCAATCCAGATTTTCTTAAAACTATGGAAAAGCCAGCAGTCTGTAAGTCATCAAAAAGGCAAAATAAAATAAACACTACTGAACATTAAACCACTATGAACACCATTCCTTGCAGATTTCTGCATTATTGTAAACACAGCAAGACATTTTACAACAATCATGAGTCAGAGTTTTATCATGGGACGATGTAACTGTATGAACTCTCCTTTGCTTTCCAGCATCAAAGTGACCAACTACTGTAACTGTATTAAGAAAACGTAACTGCTTACCTAGTTTCTGACTACCATAACTACTGAAACAAAAGATCCTTTGGAAACCGAAAAGAAAGATGCCTCACGAGATGCAAAAGCCCTAGAAGAGATCTGTTGTAGCCAAACCTGTCATTAAGGGACGAAGGTCAAGTAGAACACAGAATAAGAATGATAATTCAGAAACAGGACGAGTAACACCAAAAATTATACTAAACATGACATGTACACAAAGCTGAGGGATGTTGAGGAATATCATAGGATTTCTTTTCCAATATGTTTTCTGTGGCATTTAGAAGAGTATTTCATATCACGCCACACTTAAAACTAGCATCAACAAGAACAAATTAATTATCAAGGGTGATGAGTGTAAAACAGTTAAGACATGTTGTTTCCTATGCCAGTTGATTAAACCAAACAAGCAAACTAATAAAGATATAGTTTAGTATTTGTCCACATTGCATTACTCTTCCATTGGATAATCATGTTTTCTCTCTTTCTTTTTGCTTGTTCTTTATGTTCAGAAAGATGGAGCATATGATTAGAAAGCTCAAAGAATCTCTATTTTCGCTGCATATTTTTTTGTTATGTTATAGAAGAACCAGTTAACTGATGATGCAAGTCAAAACCCAAAATAATCATTTTTGACGCTGACATAACCCACTTAAGTGACTTACTAATACAAGGAACTAAAGTTTGAGGTCTGAAAGTATAAGAATCCTACATTTAAAAAATAGACACAAAAAAAAAAAGACTCAAATGAAAATATGGAAATAAAATAAAGTTAAGAAACCTTTATGCTCGGAAAACAGGTGATGTGGTCTTGGGATGGTTATTTCCACAATCAGCTTCCTCATTTGCTCCATCCAAGGAAATGGTGCTCTGTACAGATGCTCTCAATTCATCTCTCGGAGGTGAGCTTCCCACAGAATCTCTCACTGCATCCCTTGTAGTAACACTTTGCACAGATTCTGTAATTTTATCTACATCTATTGAGTATTTCACAGATTCTTTTGCTTCTGTCTGAACGGGAAAGAAAGTGTCAAAAGCAGGTCCTCGTTGTTCCCCTGCATTCTTCAAATCATCCTCCAAATCATCATAGTCAAAATTCCGCAAAAGGTTGGGAATTGGAAAATCATTGTCCTCCTCAATGCCAGTTCCCATTTCAATATCAATTTTCTCCTTTGAGCCCATAATACCTTCATCAAGATTTGGAGTCACAGATCCTGCGATCATCTGTTCATCCATTTCAATGAATGATCGGAATCTATTCATTGAAGGAGGGATCTTAGCGAAAAAAACTTCTTTGATGTTCCACATCACTCCTTTGTTATATGGGTTCTCGTTCTTATCATATCGGTACCGGAAGTTTTCATATGTTGTCTGTAACAAAACAAGAATCAGAGAAAAAATGTTAGATGAGAATGTACATATCGTCTCTGTGTGTGTAGTAGGTGTTATATTCAAGAATACTGACAAAAACACAATGTTGAAACTTTGTATTAGACTATAATGCCCTACTTATTTAAACTATGTCATTTATTTATTACAATAATATTATTTTAAGGATTAAGTATCTCTTCCTTTTTTTCACACTCTAGCTCCCTCTTTCATGTTCCTGTTATTTGTTTCTTCTATTGTTATAATCTCCATAAATAAAGCCTACTTCTGATTTGAACATATGATTCTTGTTCTGAAAAGAAAGCCTATCTTTAATAGCCCATCAGGAAAGCATTTTAACCAAGTCTTTAATATTTTAATCAATACTATAAGCGAACTTTCTCCATTTCCTTAATCAATACATTATATGAAAGAAAATTATTATCACTTGATCAAATCAAGTAATTCTCAAAGATATATATAAAATATTCTTCTTAGTAATAAAATCACAATGTCTCAATATTCTTAACCACGCATAACTAATAACGATAATATTTCCTTGATGTATGTTTTAATTAGGTTTATGCATTATATACTTTTATATTCTAAACAAGAGTGATTTACTAACTAGCACTTGGTCTAGTTGTATTCCTCTTCCCAATGGAGGAGGCCCCAAGTTCGAATCCCCTCCCTTCTTGATTAAAAAAACTATTAAATTATTTTATCATTTAAACCAAATGCAAGAATATGTCAATGTGCTAGTACAATAGATACAGGCTAGAAAATCAAGATAAATGCATATCGTACTAGATTAACTACAACACTGCAGCTTCACCCATTTATTTTTTTGGGAGGCGAAGCCATTTGGCCCAAATGCCATCAGCTAAGATCTCCATAGATAAGATTCTTAGAGGGAGAGAAAACCAATCAGATTATATAATTTGCATATTTAGTTTCAGTATATCATTGAGCAAGGTCACCTGGTTTGTGCATATCAAGTAGGAATGGAAGATTGTAAGGCCACCAACAAACCAGATAGCGATGAAGCAGTACGCTAAAAGGAAATCTGATAGGATATCTTTCGACATAGCTTGTCTACCGCCTTCTTGAACTACATTTATCCAAGAGAAGACAAAAACATATATGCAGAGTATGGTTGAGGTTGATATGAACATGAAGAAGAACCTATAGTTACGCTGCAACCAAGCATACAAGAGGACAGTTAGTTTATGAGTAGACCGCACAATGAACAATTATACAAAGATTTGGACACCAAATAAATTGCAACCATAAACTTGATATTCAAAACAAGTTGATTCAATTATAGTTGTCAGACAACAAAACTACTTGCGGTTCACGTATGTGCAGTTTCCAGCTAAACTTTAGATGACTTAGTTACGGAGCCCATAAGGGTGTCAAGAGAAATGGGGTAGTACTGTATAGCTGGTAAGATTACATGGAAATAAATCAGGACTATCAATGTAGACTCTCACCTTTCAAACTAGTGTGAAAAAGTTTAAACATGCTACCGAAAAAGTAACTTCAAGAATTTTAGTATCTAATAAATAAATCTGGGTCAAAGTTTCAAACGATTTTGTGCTGTCAAAGTAAAACTTTGCAAGGATCCCAAGATATATTGGATTAAGTGCTAATAATAAGACAGAAGAAATACTTAGACAGCTCCAACTACACAGGTATAACATTCCAGCAGTTATAAAAATATTTAGTTTGTTCCTACTGCAATTCTTGACCGACAATACCTTTGGTCTTTGATAAATATCACTACAGTCAGCACCATGTTCAAAAGAGTTAACTATGTCCAGGAAGGAAACCCACGTAAAATGATCAGTTCACTTAGTTGTACCCTATTCCAATTTCTCATCACAGGTGGCATAAACATAGAAGATACTCTTTTACACTAATAACTTACAATTCCAATGCATTGGCCAACCCATGGACAATGATGATCGAATCTCTGAACACAATTGTTGCAGATAGAACAGTGAGATACACGAGGAGGGCGATAAAGCAAACAAGTATCACAGTACTTCACTTTTACTGTGTGACCATTTACAATGACATCTTTGGTTCGTGGTAGTTTCAAATGAGGAGTTCTTTCATTAACCCACTCCATTGATGGGGTAGCAAGACCAAATGCTTCATCTGATTCTGGAGGCCTTGAATTTCTAGGGACTATTCCAGGATCCCTACCAGAAGTCAAGAACAGAAATGTTAAATCCTGCACAGAAATGAGCTAAATGTCAGATTTCTATTTAAATACCAGAGCAATCAACAATTGTAAGAACAGAATGTTCAATCATCTTTAATTTATCAAGTGATTGAAATCATATAGTCATCATCTTAGTCTTCGAGAGTGATAAGGCTGCCATTGGGATGCAATCCAAGTGTCCGATGGCTTAGATCCACAACCACAAGAAAAGGGAAACAGAAGTCACATACAGAACATTTTGACAAGTTAACATCCCTGTGATATGTACAAAGAAAAACGTGATCTGGTACATGAAATAAAAAAGAATCCATATTGCAGAAAGAAAAGACTCATTCCAAACGCTGATTGGAGAAACGGAGGTCTCTTAACATTTGAGGTCTAGACACCCTTATTGATGAGGACATCTTTGTCAAACCCATTAGGG